GGAAAGAAACGGCATGAAAATCAGCAGAAGAAATAGAGTATGTGGTCTGTAGATTCAATGCTCTCCTGCAGGAAGACAATGGGCGTGTAAGTCTGGGGCCAGCCACTAGCAAAGCTACAGAAGTTTTAGAAGGTTCAATATCAATTTGCGAACCTCTAAGGTGATAAGTAACAGTCAGCATGGATTTGTCAAGAACAAATCCTGTCAAATCAACCTGATAGCTTTCTTTGGCAGGGTAACAAACCTTGTGGATGGAGGGAAGCGGTAGACGTGGTATATCTTAACTTTAGTAAGGCTTTTGACACAGTCTCATGTGACCTCATAAACAAACTAGGGAAATACAACCTATATGGAGCCACTCTAAGATAGGTTTTCCAACTAGTTATGCACCTTTCCCAGAGAGTAGTTATCAGTGGTTCACAGTCAAGCTGGAAGGGCATATCGAGTGGGGTCCCACAGGGATCAGTGTTGGGTCTGGTTCTGTTCAATATCTTCATCAATGATTTAGATAATGGCATAAAGAGGACACTTATAAAGTTTGCGGACGATACCAAGCTGGGAGGGGCTGCAAGTGCTTTGGAGGATCGGATTAAAATTCAAAATGATCTCAACAAACTGGAGAAATGGTCTGAAGTAAATAGGATGAAGTTCAACAAGGAGAAATGAAAAGTTCTCCATTTAGGAAGGAACAATCAGTTGCACACATACAAACTGGGAAATGACTGCCTAGGAAGGAATACTGCGGAAAGGGATCTGGAGGTCATAATGGATCACAAGCTAAATATGAGTCAACAGTGTAATGCTGTTGCAAAAAACCGAAACCTCATTCTGGGATGTATTTGCACAGTAGTTCTCAAACTTTTCTAGTGGTGACCCCTTTCACATAGGAAGCCACTGAGTGCGACCCCCTTATAAATTAAAAACACTTTTTTATACATTTAACACCATCATAAATGCTGAAGGCAAAGCAGGGTTTGGGGGGGGAGACTGACAGCTTGCGACCCCCCCATGTAATCCCCTCATGAGCTCCTGAGGGGTCCCAACCCCCAGTTTGAGAACCCCTGTATTAGCAGGAGCGTTGTAAGCAAGACACGAGAAGTAATTCTTCTGCTCTACTAGAAGGATGAGGAGGATCAAGTCCCAGCGATGAAAAGACAAACACAGTATTGCCCTGATCTTGGATGGGGTTTACAGGGGTCACCGTAATACCAACAGCAAAGGTTTTTGTCTGGGAATTTCCATATTGGTGGTACAAAACACAGGGTAAAATCCCCAGCAAATGAATGATGGGTTCAAACGTACCTGCAGAGAGTAATTCTTGCACGTCGCTTTGATTCCCTCGAACTCAGAACTGCAGTTAATGCTGGGGGCTTGGAGCGATGGGAAGAGAGGAGCAGACGTTAGCGCTTTCATATCAGATTTTCATATCAACTCACTCCTGCCTGGGGGAAAATCCCCTTCTCTTCCCCACCCCGATGGTTGCTCTCTGTCCACATGCCAGTCCTGCACTGCCAAGAGTTTAACATGCGGCTGCTACAAAACTCCCTCCCTTCCTCCCCATCTCACTCTGTCTCTCTCTCCCCTCCATTTACACTCCGCTTTGCCTGTCCCTCATGCTCCTGTCTCCTGACACACGTGGCCTTGGGGCTGCAGATATCTGGGTTCTTGTTGCACTCGTTGATGTCTGAGAGGGGAAAGTGGGGGAGAGGGTCACACACACCACGGCTGGGGGCATACAGGGGGTGAAGGACCATGGAGGCACCCCACCGATAGCAGGGGGCGTGGTCTCTCGATCAGTCTGTCTGCTCCATCTAACCCCCCCCCCATTCAATTCTCCTTTCTTCCCTGTTATTTGCAGTGCCCCAATCCCTGCGGCGCAACCCCTCCCCCACCCCCAGATCGGGGGCCCAACCTTTTCCAGACCAGGACTCTGCGATCCCCTCCCTGCACCTGTCCTGGGAGACCGGGGTTAAGGCGGGGGCCCGATCAGCCACTTAAGCTGCAAAGGGGAAGTGACTTAGGCTGCGTGCAGGGCGCTAGCTAGAAGGAAGCTCGCCTGGGAGGGGACAGGTGGGGCTTCTATACAGTCCGAGGGCTGGGCCCAGTGGTGAGGGGCCTGAGGCAAGGGGGGGCTAGGGGAGCCCCGAGGGGGGGCTAGGGGCCCCGGAGGAAGGGTTTCACTAGCAGGCATAGGAGAGAGGGATCTGACTTTGAAAGGCTCCCCCAGAATGACTTAGGCTGCGTGCAGGGCGCTAGCTAGAGGGAAGCTCGCCTGGGAGGGGACACGTGGGGCTTCTATACAGCGCGAGGGCTGGGCCCAGTGGTGGGGGCCTGAGGTGAGGGGGGCTAGGGGCCCTGGAGGAAGGGTTTCGCTAGCAGGGATAGGAGAGAGGGGGTCTGACTTTGAAAGGCTCCCCCAGAATGGGGATCACAGCGTGACCCGACCGCACGGCCAAGACACGGGGCAGCTGGGACTCTGGGAGCTGCAGTGGTGGGAGAGAAGAAAGGAGGCGCTGAACTGGAGCGAGTCACCAGAACGGGGCGTCATACTCAGCGTTACAGACCCCAGCCCGATGGGTCCCCTCCCCGTTCGGGATACACCCAGCCCCGCCCCCCCCCATGGAGCACTAGGAGAAGGGTGGGTGGGCTGTGCCCAGGGGAGTGCAGGGGAATTGGGTGATGTCCCTTTAAACTAGTTTCTTTGCTCTCTGGTGGCTCACGGGGGTCAATGGCAGAAGCCCGCAGACCCCCACATGCGGCCAGGCCCTGCACGGCTGGTAAACGGGTTGTTTGAAGCCAGCTGGATCCAGGGGATCGCCCTATTCCTAACATTGCGCAGTGAGCAGCGGCCTGACAACATCCATTCCCGGACCCTGCTGTGACCCCCAGGCCCAGGGCCCCGCGGGGCGAATCCACCGAGCCCTCGGACGGATGACGCCAGCTCGACACTCGCTGCCGATCCGGCCTGTGGAAGCCGAAGCTGGAAGAGACCCGCCCAGCCTGACCCCCCAGCATAGCCCCAGCCGGAGTCGCCACCCAGCGGTTCAGCAATCCGGCCCCAAACGGAGGGAACTTCACTGCCCTCGCTGCCTCCTGGGGCCTTTCACCACTGTGGAGAGTCTGATCTGACAGACGGGCCCTGCCCTGCCTGGGCACAGAGAGCCCTACCGTGATCTAGCCAAATGCTGGAGGGCCGTGCACCTGCCAGGCTGCCAACGTGCCAGCTGCCGGGCAAAGGGGGATACACGGAGGATGTCAGGGCTCCATAGTTCCTCGGGGTCACTCACCCCGTGCAGGGAGTGGGGTTTTCTACCTAGGGACCAGGCTTGTACGTGCAGAGACGCACTCATTCCGGACAGCTAAGCTCTCCCCGATATTTATCCATAACGCTTTTGCTTCACACAGAAATCCTTGTGGCTAAAATCCCCTTCGCCTGGACATCAGCAAACAAGTCAATCAGCGGAGAGAGTCAAGAGCGCTCACGGATCCTTCCCTTGGGCCGTGTTCCAGCAGCTCTGTCTCAGACTCCCCTTCTCTCTCTCTTTCCTGTGACAGCGTTTTGCTATTTCCCGCTACACCCCTTCCCCTCGGTCGTTATTTGCATAAAGGCAGCACCCAGCGCGCTGCACACACACTGCCATAAAGAGCTTCTGTAGGGACGCATAGCTCCCGAATCGCTAGCCCACAGGTGCGGCAAACTGCTCCCATGGCTACGAGG